CCCGCCCCTCACTTCCGTGGCCCAGGGGGTCCCCATCCCTCAGAGCCCCTCCAGCTCCTGGCCCGGAGCCCCCAGCTTTCCCCGCGCCCCTCACGGCCCCTCCGATTTCCCCGCAGTGTGGGGGGCGGGTTTCCCGGGCGCCTCCGGGCTCGAGTCACTTCCGGTGCCCTGACCTTTATAGGAGTAAACAGACCCCCTTCATCTCCGCCTCCCCTCTGCCCAGGTGACTGCCTAATCCCCGTCCCGAGGAGAAAGCGCTGGCCAGGGTTCCGGGGCCGGCTGGGAGGGTGGGGGTCAGGTGGGGGCCGCCTGGGGAAGGCCTGGACCTAGGATCTTCGCAGCACTTGGCACTGGGCACCTCCATCCCGTTTCTTCTCACGAACTTGAAGGGGACCCCTTGGCAATTCTTGCTTTTCTCTCGAGAGCAGACAGCCTTCAGCCCTCGCTGCCCGGGCTGGTGTGTCTGACCCAGCTGTGGTTTTTCCAGGCCTGAAGGCCCCGGAGTGCGCTAGCAGCATGTACAAAGACACCGTCTACTCCGCCTTCAATCTGCTCATGCACTACCCGCCCCCCTCGGGAGCAGGCCAGCACCCCCAGCCGCAGCCCCCACTGGTAAGTGGCCCTAGCCCAGCCGGGTGCCTGCGACCTCCTTGACCAGGTATGTGAGGCACAGGCAAGAAGTGACTTTCGCTTACAACAAAATAGATACGGGAGAATTCCGTTCTGGTCTGTCTTCCCGTTCATGCCCAGCGGGATCGGAACCAGAGGAGAACTGTGCTGAAGGAAGGAGGGGTGGCCCTGGGCACGCCACTTCCCCGCTGGCTGTTGGCTTTTGTCCTCCCAGCTTGCTCACAAGCAGGTGTCGGCCTTATCCTGGTGCTTGGTGATGCTGGGGTGTAATCTCACAGTACATTTGAGCTGAGATCCATCCCCCTGACTCCTGAGGGTGGTGTGCATTGTGTGGTCTGAGCTGTGAGCTCTGTAGTTAGCCTCCCCCCTAAAGCCCGAAGCCCCAAGCCTTGGTGCTGGGAGGAACCCGCAGAAAAGCTGGTGGGCTTCAGATTTCCTGGTTGTGGATCGCTACTTGCTCTGTCCTTATTGGCCTGAGTGCACCATGCAACAGAATGCCCAAACACCATGTGTGGAAAGTGAAGCTGGCTTGGTCTCAAATGCACCACGAAAGGTTTGTTGAGGTGTTTCAAATCAGTAATGTTGGTAAAGGGCCTGTTTGATGAATTTGCAAATTAAGTATGTTTACATACCCAGTGGTTTGAAAAGATTTCATGATCATTACAAACCATGCTTTTCTGACCATTGGAGCAGATGATCTCAAGTGTGAAGAGCCTACTCTGAGTGCTTTGGAGCAGTTAAGCTGCACTTAAAAAAAAAAAATTCAGATTAGTGTTTAGATTGTCCTCAGGTAGCCCAAGTTGGGGTGAGGTTAGAGCTCCTAGAGTACATGAAAGGTCTGGGGGACTCTCTTTGGCGGATGTTGGGTGCAAATGCGGGCACAGTGTAGGTGGGTCCCACAGGTGCAGGCCCTATCCTGGCTCACATGGCTCATGGTGGGGGTCACCCAGAGGGAGGAGGGTGACTGCCTGGCTTTCTGATCTGGAGATGAGGGTTTCATGCTGAAGGCAGTGGGAGGTGAGATGACAGATTGAGGCTTCCCTCTAGAAACCCAGGATGGAAAGCCTTGTAGACAGCTGACTCAGGAAGTAAGCTCCTTGCCCTCTGCACCCCTATTTTCTCATCTCTAGAAGGAGCATGTTGGATGAGTGTTCTATCTCTTTCTGCTCAGGGGTGGCTCTATCTAGGTGTTTGCTTCCTTTCAAGTCTAGCGGGGAGGGGGCTGACCACTGACCTTGCCACCTGATGCCGCAGCTCTCCTGAGAGACCTCTGCCCCACAGGAGCAGATACTTAACAAAGATGTTTTGGGGTCCCTTAGAAGGAGCAAGCCCTTTGATTTGGGGCCAAGTTGACATAACCCACTACTGCGAAACCGCTGGCAGGTGAGTTGCTTGCTTACATGGTCAGGGGGCTTGAGTCACTGTGATAACCCTGACTAGACAAAGGCCTAGGCCCGGGAACAAGCCTAGCAGAGCAGGCTCCCCTCCTGCTTCTTGTGAGTCCACAGTGGTGCAAGGAGAAGCAGTGGTTCCGAGTCCCTCTCATGGCATGGGCAAGTGGTGGGACAGTGCCCAGAGAGGGAGGGCCTCGTTCTCTGTAGGGGTGTGATGCTGAGACCATTTGGTGTCCTTTAGTTCACATTGGCCAAAGAGTAGGTGGACCCACAGCCAACTCCAGCCTAATGATGGGGGCGGGGTACAACACCCCTCTCCTGGCCTGGGTTGTGTGTTTTTTTTCAACTTAGGAGCTTTCTCAAGATACAGCAGATGTATTTGTATGTGTCACACCCTCCCTATAAGGGCAGATCCCTAGGTTTTCCTCCCCACTCAGCTGCTGCCTCCCCACTGCCTTGCTTCTGGGAGCACAGGAGGACAGGCTCTGGCACTGACTTTCAGTGCCCTGGTGCCAGCTGCTTCAGGGGATGTGGGCAAGGGCCTAAGTAGGGGTGGCACTGCGTGCAGAAGATGTATGTGAATGTAGTGGAGCCTCTTTTAAGAAAACTTGATAGCCCTAGTCAGTTTGGCCCAGAGGATAGAGTGTCAGCCCACGGACTAAAGGGTCCTGGGTTCGATTCCAGTCAAGAGCATGTACCTCCCTTAAAGGCCTGATCCTGGCTCTGGCCCCAGGCACATGTGGGAGGCAACCGATCGTTGTGCCTTTCTCACATCGATGTTTCTCTCTGTCTCTCCCGCTCCCTTCCACTCTCTGAAAACTTGATAGTTACAAGCAAATAGCAAGTAAGAGTAGTTGTTTGCAATACTTGAAGAGTTGTATAGACAATTACAAATTTGGTTGTGTTTTAAAAAGCAAAATTAATTGACCCTATGTTTTGGGAGCACATTTATCATGTGACTCAAGGTTCATGTCTAGAATCAGAAAATATTCTCTTCAAGTGGGTCAGGAGCTCCTTGCAGGGGCCCTGAGGGAAAACTGCCTTTGGAGGTTTTCTTCAAAGCGGTGCTTTCCTGAGCCCATCTTCACGCCACAAATGACAGGCTGCCAGCCCCTGCCCGTGGGCTTTAGAACTAGGCTCCGCGGCCCTTTGCCCAGCCCTCTCTGAGAGAATGCAAGTGGCCAGCAGTTGTGCCGAGGAGCTCCAGACCCATCCCCTGACTTCTCTGCCCATGTGTAGATGGGATGTCCATGTGGCTACCACATCGGTACCTCAGAACAGGCAGGCCCGAGCCTAGCCTGGAGTAACGGGCCAGGCAACCACCTCAAGCTCAATTGCCACAGGGGAGAGGGAGATTTTTCCCCCCAAAAAGTTTGTTTCATTTTGGTAGTTGATGTCTTGTAGACTCTGTAAGGGGAATTAGGTCAGAGTTTATTTCATGGCTGATGTTTGTCAGGCATCTAATGCGGGTTTGCACAGTTACTGGCCTAGAGCAGTCACCACTCCTTATTTCCTCTGCTGTGAGACCTGGGGATGGGGTGGAGAGCAGTGAGTGGGTCCTGGGCCAGACTTTGAGGGGCTTCTGGGATGAGTAAGGCATCATTCCTTAGGGAAACACAGGCTTTTGAATATGCAGGACTGATAATCTGGTACAAATCCTCATCTCAAAAGGAATACGAGGCCACATTGCTCTTGTGACCTCTTCCCTGGGCTACACTGAGAACCTGTGGCCTAGAAGGCTGATGAGCCTTTTGCTATTTAGATGAACTGCCCAGAATGGGCAAATCCGTAGGGACAGACAGTAAATTAGTAGTTGTCAGGGCCTGGGAGAAGAGGGGTGTGAGGGTGGACTCTAATGGGGTTGCTTTTTGGGGTGATGAATATGTTCTGGAATTAGATAGTGGACACAGTTGTACTACCATATGAATATACTAAAAGCCACTGAATCATATACTTTTTAATGGTGAATGTTATAGTACATGAATTATATCTCAGTACAGGGGGGAAAAACACACACCTGAGGCTCTTGGCTCTTAAAGGGACTCGGGACTATTTCCCTATGTCTGAGACTATAGCCTTCCTGATACCTGGGTGTGCTTCAAGCCAGGGAGTCAGGCATCAGCTCCTGGGTGGAGGAGCCCAGCTAGGCAGTGGACTCATGCTGGGGCTCCTGGCCATTTGGCTCACATTCCCTGACTCCAAGGTCTGAGGTCCAGGTGAGGGCTGTGCAAACAAGTCCCCGGGGAGCAGGAGGTGAGGGTGTGAGCAAGATGAGCATAGGAAGGAAGTGCTGCTGACACATGGCCAGCCTATCCAGGGGAGCTCTGCAGAGATGCACCCACTCAGCCCGCCACACCCCGCAGAGAGAGCATCAAGGCCTTGTTAGGGAGGGTTACTGATGGTCGATCACCAGCTCTGGTTGGAGTGAAGCCTGTTAGAAGGGAGGCTGGCACCAGGCTGAGCACCTAGGTGCTCCGCCTCTGGGAGCATCTGGCCGAGTGGAGAAGACTCCCTCCTGGCTGGACAGTGCTGTCACAAAAGACTCAGCTGGGAGCATCCTAGGCAGAGCTGGCACAGGAGGGTCTGCTGAGCAAATTCCTAAGGCACAGTTGTCCGACAGGTGAGGACAGAGGGACTGGCAGACACCTGGGCTCCTCTCCAGCTATCCCCGATGTCCCACTTCTCCACTTCAGTCACCACCTCCCAAGCATCTCCATCCCTCACCCAGATGGCAGTAGTAGCTCCCTCCAGGGTCCCTCTGCACCTGCCCCCACCCTAACCCTTACCCTAACTGCCACTCCAGGCTCCACATAGCAGCCAAAGGAGTCCTTTAAAAACATAAATCAGCCCTAGCCAATTTGGCTCAGTGGATAGAGCATCTTCGGCCTGCGGACATGAAGGGCTCTGGGTTCGATCCAGTCAAGGGCACATGCCCAGGTTGCGGGCTCGATCCCTAGTAGGGGGCATGCAGGAGGCAGCCGAGTGATTCTCATCATTGATGTTTTTATCTCCCTCTCTGAAATCAACCAATAAAAATATATTTAAAAAACAACAACATAAATCAGATCCCATCTCCCACCTGATTAAACCCTACAGTGGCTTCCCAATGCTCATGGAATAAGGTCCAAACCACTCACCACAGCCTGAGTGCCTGGGTGGCCAGCACCTGATCACCCCTCTCATCAGCACCATACTCTTCTGTCCCTAAATAGCAGCCACTTCAGTGTCATGGTAAGTTTTACAATCAACGAGAATCTTTTCCACCTCAGGACCTTTGCACTTGCCCCTCAGCTTGGAATTCTTTCGCAGCTTTTAACATAGCTACACCTTTTTCATTCCTCATTCGTGGCTTAATTCAAAGGTCACCTCCTCAGAGAGGCCTCCTTTGGTACCCTCTGTCATGGCCATGGGCCTTGGCTGCCTACCCTCACAGCCTCTCTGGCCAAAGATGGCCCTGCTTTATGATGCACTTGCCATGCTCAGACCAAAGATAGCTCATCCATCAAAAGTATCTCAGCCTGCTCTGGCCAGGTGGCTAAGTTGGTTGGAGCATCATCCCATATACCAAAAGGCTGGGTGTTCTTTCCC